GCATGCCCATTTATTGGCAGGTACATAAGTACCTGTATAAACTATCTGGAAGCATAACTGACCTACATAATCTTCCCTACATAACACATGTGCACAAGAACATATGCACATAAATTTGTAGTTAGTCACGTTTGTGTCCACTCCTAAAGACTTGCTGGTCTCAGGACCCCACGATTGGTACTGGCCACAGACTAGTGTGTAGAAGAACTTTGGCACCTGAGGGCAGCCACAGCCAACTGTGAGGTCCTTCCCCAGGCCCAGCAAGTTCCCTCCTCTGAGTTTCACTGCATTTGTTCATTTGCCTCACATGTCTCTGGGTTTGACCAAGCCTCCTTGCCCTTTAAAAGTCACCTGAAAAACATCCCTAATGCACCAGCTAGAAAGATCTGTTTCCCAATCTTTAAGACCCTTTGGAATTTTTTTTGCCAGTCCTGGGAGTTCAGTGCCCTGAATTCAGGGCACTGTCCTTAAGCTTCTTTTTGCTCAAGCCTGGCACTCTACCACTTGATCCACAGTGCCACTTTTGACTTTTTCTTTTTTTTTGGGCAGGGGAGTCCAGTCGTGGGGCCTGAACTCTGGGCCTGGGTGCTGTCCCTCAGCTCTTCAGCTCAAGGCTAGTGTTCTACCACTTGAGCCATAGCGCCACTTCCGGCTTTTTTCTTTTTGCTTATGTGGTGCTGGGGAATCGAACCCAGGGCCTCAGGCATGCAAGGCAAGAGCTCTACCACTGAGCCACCTTCCCAGCCCACTTTTGACTTTTTCTGTTTATGTGATTCTGAGGAATTGAATCCAGGGCTTCATGCATGCTAGGCAAGCACTCTACCACTAAATCACATTCCCAGCCCCCTTAGAAAGTTTTTAACCACTTCAGCCTACCTAGTGTAATGTGTTCTCCCCAAGAGGCACTCTGAACCCCCAGAGGGAAGTGGTTGAGGCTCATGAATGCTTAGCACAGAGCACTAGTGCTGGAGTGCGGCAGATCGAAACAAATTGTGCTGATGTGTAGACATCACAAGCTACTCTTCCTGATGCATAGACCAATCCAGAGGAGCCAGGCAAAGTTAAGAAACTTGTAGCTTCTTACTCAGCTGCTCAGTCCACCACATATACAGACCAGGATCCATGGCCTGTCCTGTGCAAGCTTCCTAAGCACAGAACTCACCCAATGATCTCATTACTGAGGCACTGCTTCTAAATCTTGACGCCATGACCACTGGCTCCCAGAACCAAAACTCCTTGAGAGCTAAACAGGCTTACAGACAATCTCAGGACTTTCTTCACCTGCTTTGGATAGACAGATGCTTCCAGCTCATAGATGCAGGCAGCTTTCCAAAGGTGCCTGAAGACTCATCTTCAGGTAGTTTTCCAGGGGCTCAGTCAGGTTTTCTGAATCAGAACAGCTGAGGTGAAACCCAGGGACCAGAGTAACAATGAACACTTTGATTTAATCCTGGTTAAAGGATTGAGAGTCACACTGCCCAGTTCACAATTTGGCACTGCCATTTACAAGCCCTTAGGCAACATCCTTCACCTTACTGAGCCTCTATTTCCTAGTCTATAATCTGGGGGTGATAATAAGGTCATGAAATGACCTTGTACATTCAGCTACTGTGGAGTATTAGGATCTCAGACACCTTCTCTGGGACTTTAGAGAGGTACTCTCTTGGAAGTCCTCTGGGTAGCACATAACCTTGGCTTAGAAGGCTTGGACTCATGGGGCTGGGAAGGTGGCTCAGTGGTAGAGCACTTGCCTTGCATGCATGAGGCCCTGGGTTCGATTCCTTAGCACCACATAAGCAAAAAGAAAAAAGCCGGAAGTGGACTGTGGCTCAAGTGGTAGAGTGCTAGCCTTGAGCTGAAGAGCTGAGGGACAGAGCCCAGGCCCAGAGTTCAGGCCCCATGACCGGACCCCCCCCAAAAAAACCCAAAACAAACAAGAAGGCTTGGACTCAGAATGCCATATCACCTAGTGACTACCATGTGGGAACATGCCCAGCTCTCCAGATGAGGTCTTCTGCTGAGCTTGTTCAAGGTTCCACCCTGTCTTCTGCCCACTGACAGCTTCCCATTCTGCCCTACTTTCCTGGGAGCTTAGTTGGCTTGGCACTAGCTCTGGTACTTCTCTCTAGTTTTGTAATAAAATAGGTTGTTCAGATCAGCGTTTTCTACCAGGGAGGCCACCTGGCACAGAGAGACAAGAAGCAGGGAGGAGGGTGGAGGAAATAGCTCCTTGAGAATACCAATTTCAGTCTGGTATGCTCAAGGGGTCATTTGTTCCTTAAACTAGATGATCCTCAGGAAGGATCCCTTAATTTTCCTTCTCTGGTTCATCATTTATTTATTTTAATAAATGATTTTCATTCAGTCATTCATTCAGTATTGTTTACTCTATGCCATGAGATCAGGCTCAGTGACCTCCAGGGACTGGTAAACTTTATCTGTAAAGGACCAGTTAGTAAATAGTTTTAGCTTTGTGGGTCTAGATAGTCAGCTATTATAGAAGAAAGTAGTTGTGGACAACATGTATAAATATGAGTGGGTGTGGTTGGATTTTAATAAACTCTTCATAGACATTGAACTTTTAATTTCATATGTTTTTCATACCACCAAGTATTCTTTGGAGCCAAGTGGGCACTGATGGCTCATGCCTGTAATCCTAGCCACTCAGGAGGCTCAGATCTGAGGATCAGGGTTCAAAGCCAGCCCAGGCATTAAAGTCCACAAGACTCTAATATCCGGTTAATCACAGAAAAAGCCAGAAGTGGCTCAAGTGTGTAGAGCACTAGCCTTGAGCAAAAAGGAGCTCACACACACACACACATACATTCTTTGGAAGTTTTTTTTTCAACCACTTAGACAAGTAAGGCCATACAAAACAGGCAACAGTCAATGGGGCCATGACTTGCCAGCCAGAGCTGAACAGGTAAGGTCAGGATGTTCTATGCCTTATTTGTGCTAATATTTTTAACCAAAGTCTTCACCTTTGGAGAAGCTCAGTGAGAAGGGGATGTCCCAGCCTATTAAAGCTCAACCACACAGCCCTCTCAGACTCTACTCTCTCATTGACACTCGTGTTAGATATGGGGACTTTCAGGACTCCTTTAGGACAAGACCAGAAGCTTATGTGCACATGCCAGTATTGGGGCTTGAATTCAGGGTCTGGACAGTGTTCCACCTCTTTTTCACTCAAGTTTGGCACTATGAGAAGCTGTTTTGAAGGCAGGAGTCAGAAAGAATCTGCATCCAGGACCATCCTTAGGTGAATGGTGTTGGAGTGAATGACTTAAAATTCCTATGCATCCGTTTCCTCATCCACAGTACCTCATAGGCTGTTGAATGAAGGAACACACACATACACACAAGCATGTACAATGCTCAGACAAAGGTCTGATACGGAGTCAGTAGTCAGGACTTGTGGATTCTTTTCACAATTCTTTCTCCCCAACCAAACCCAGAAAGACTCTAGGCTCAAAATGTCCTGGCTGGGGCTAGCAGGTCAGAAAGTACCTGCAGGAGAAGGCTGGAGGAGGCTGACCGAACTTCCTGGCCCAGTATCTCCCTGGCCCAGCATCTCCCAGCTGCCGAAAGCCAGGATCTGAGGATCTCGGTTAAAAGCCAACCCGTGAGATTATTTTTGGCCGGTTATGGGGCTTGAACTCTGTGTCTGGGCACTGTCCCTCAGTTCTCCAGCTCAAGGCGAATGTTTTACCACTTGAGCTACAGCACAACTTCTGGTTTTCTGGTGGTTTATTGGAGGTAAGAATTTCACAGCTTTTCCTGCCTGGGCTGGCTTTGAACCATGATCCTTAGATCTCAGCCTCCTGAGTAGCTAGGATTACAGAGTCAGCCACCGGTTTCCGGCCCATGAGATTCTTATCGCCAATAAACTACTCAAAAAGCCAGAAGTGGTGTTGTGGCTCAAGTGGTAGAGGGCTCACCTTGAGCACAAAGAGCCCCAGGGACAGTGCACAGTCCCTGAATTCATGCCCCAGGACCAGCTCCCGCCTGTGCCCGCACCCCCCCCCTTCGCAAAAAAAAGTATATAGATAAGATTTTGTCTGACTCTACTCCAGAGATGAGTTGGAGGAGGCTGGCTTGGGAGACCATCATTCCTGTCAATTCATGGTCCATGAAGTGGCTAGGCTGCCCAGATCAAGGCTATGAGTATTTCAGTCATTACAACAAATACCTCAGTTTGCCAGAGCTTTCTCTACTCTGCAAATACACTGTTTCTCCCTACCCCCTCTTTCCCACCGCTGCTGGTGCCCAGCTTCCTCCATCTCCCAGAGCAATACCACTCCCTCCCCCTCAAGAGCCTGTATTATCTTATCTGATTTCATTCTTTCATAGCACTTATACCTATGTGGAATTTTATTATTTGTCCTTGGAGTTCTTTCAGTCTCTTCTGCTAGAATTCAAGTTTCTTTTTCTTTCTTTCTTTCTTTTTTGGCCTGTTGTGGCTTGAACTCTGGGCCTGAGCGCTGTCCCTGCGCTCTTCAGCTCAAGGCTAGCGCTTGAGTAACAGCACCACTTCCAGTTTTCTAGTGGTTTATTGGAGATAAGAGTCTCACGGAGTTTCCTGCCCAGGCTAGCTTTGAACCGTGATCCTCAGATCTCAGCCTCCTGAGTAGCTAGGATTACAGGCGTGAGCCACCGGCGTCCGGCTGAATTCAAGTTTCTTGAGAGCCAGATTTGTCTGCTATAATCCTTACAACTACCCTAACCAGGTGACTCTCCCTCCCCTCCCCTCCTCTCTCTAGTACAGACTGGTCTAGAACTCACGGTACTGCTACTTCAGGCTCTCAGTGCTGAGATTACAGGTGTGAACCACTACACTCGGCTAACACCGACTTTTAACACTAGTCACAGTACTTAATTTATTTGGGATAGTGAGAGACAATAAAGTAACTCGAATCAAAAAGAGATGAGCTTGAGGCGCAGGCGCGCTGGTTCTCCCAACACAAAGGGACTTTTTGTTTCCGCTCTGCCCCCGCATCCTCAAAGTCACCAATCAGAAAGCTAGTCTGTCCGTGACGCAATCTTCCCGCGACGGAGCAGATGGTTGCAGCGTTTCCGTGTGACGGAGTGTAGGCGCCGCGGCTATGGGCAGCCGGGAGGTGCTGGGCCAGGCTGCTCGGCTGGCCTCCTCCGGCCTCCTCTTGCAGGTACTTTCTGACCCGCCAGCCCCAGCCAGGACATTTTGGGAGGCAGCCCTGAGGGCCCGTCTCGAGAGCCCCCCCACACGCTGTGGAGTCCGGGGAGCCCCCCACCCCGGCTGTGAAATCTGGTTAGCAGAAGACAGTGGCGGTGGTGAGGGGATGTCTGGGCCTGGCGTTGGGAGCCCGCGTTCAGTCTTGGCAGAGTGGCTGCAAACACGCCTTTCGTTTTCTGAACTTTCTATTTCCCATTTGGCTGTAGGAGAGAATTCGGTCTGGTGGCCTAGGCAAGGGCATTTCGTGCACAGGAACATGGTATTTTTTAAGGCAAGGGGTTCATTTTCTCCTTATTCCACCCCTGACCTTCAAACACCTTCCTACAGACGGACTCCCACTGAGTTTAGAGAGACTTTATGGCATAATTAAAAACAGAGATCTGGGTTCAGGCAGCATTGGAACCATGTGTGGTGACCCAAGCCTAATTACTTCACCTGAAGAGCCTCAGATTCTTTCATTTTTTAAATTGTTATTACAAAGGTGATATACAAGAGGTCTTGATAGAATGAGGGTAATAATAATAGTATCTAGTTCATAAGGTAGTTACAAGGATTGATTGAAATTATTTGGATAAATGCACTTAATGTAATGTACACTTAATAAACTTTGGCTGCATCCTGTGTGCCCTTGGACAAGCCTGTGATTCCTAATTTTTGTCATCTACCAGATATGATACATGCTGGCCATCTAAAGGTTATCTAAAAATTCTTGCAGCCTAGGAGTTGGTTATCCAAATGAAGTGGCCATTTTTTCCTGTCTTACTCTTCAACTAATTAACTACTGGACACAAGTTCTAAATCTACCCTCTTCATTACCTTAAAGAGGCACACTGATGTTAGGAGAAAGAACTAGAAGACTTGGGCTCTAATTTCTGCCTTGTCACTTGCTAACCTTCCCCTGAGAAAATTGCTTGACTTCTCTGAACATTAGGTTCTTCATCTTCAGTTAGAAAAATGATGCAAATCAGAATCATTAGGAAGATTAGATTAAATCATGCCTGTTAGGTGCCTGGCACACTACATATGTTAGCGTTTTTTTCTATTAGGGTAATTTTTAAATGGTCAGTGTAGGGATGAAATGATATCTGCATAAAACAGAATAGTGTCTTGCACACTGTATGTACTTAATGTTAGTAAGTCCTCACATAACCCTGTTTATCCTAGTTGTTTGTTTTTTTATTCTACAGCATAAATATCTAGTTTCAATGCTTTTATCCACAATGCTGATTTTCTACCTTTAACAATCC